TCATCATCTTCCTCTTTCTCAATATTCCCTTCAAACCCCGAATACTCAAAACCATTATTCGAGGAGTCAGTTGCAACTGACCGAGCGAGAAGGAATTCATGAGCAAACAACTCCTATTCTCGGGCCTGGGCAATACGATCGTCTATATTAGCAATAACTGCTTTGGCCTCTTTCAAGGTTTTCCTCCTCATATGATATATAGCATAAGTCTTTTCAAAACTAAGGGAATATTCTTGGTCTTGGAGCTTAGTTTGGACCCTATCAATTTTGTCCTGAAGGCCGTCTCTTTTGGATCTTAAGGCACTAAGGTGAGAATCGGGCTCAATATTTGTAGTTGAGTGAATCCGATTCTGGTCCATGACCCTCTTGAGCCTCTCCTCCATCTTGGCCCTCTTCTCCTCAGCAGCATTGGCCTCCTCGGTTTTGGAGCTTAAGCGTGTCTTCAAATTATTTATTTGCTCCTCGAGGGTAGACTCGCGCTCGGCAGCAGCAAGCACATCGTCGTGGAGATCGGCCCATTAGATTTATCCTTTTGAACTTACTCGTGTAATTGAGTGGATTCTTGGATATGGACCATTTTATGTTGCTCGCTCTGCTGAAACCGGGCCTTAATCTCACCCATCTCAGCATTTTTTGCCTCCAACATGAGAGGCACGCATCAAGTTGGTTCCTTTTGGCCAACAATTGATCCCGCTCGAGTGCGAGTCCTTGGTTATCGAGGATCAATATCTACAGACCTTCGGAAGCGAGAAAGTTGGCCTGTAAAAAAAGAGTATCAAATTTCGGATTACCAGTGCAACAGGTAAATGTAAAAGAAGTTATAAGAAAATAAGTACGGTACAACTGCCGCGCTATGCATGACATTATTTAACAAGTATTCTCCCGATAGCAAATACATTTTCTTCCGATCTTTTTCCAAAGCCAACGACTTTAGTAGTTCTCAAGCTCCACCAGTTCAGATAACAGATGACACTCCTTCGAAATTGAAAGAGTAGCATTTCTCCCCCCTCGAAGATTTGGGGAAGGGGGTAATTGTGCCCCAAATTCCTATGGTCGGGAGACCAAGGAGGAGAAACACCCCTTTCTCGATCATCTGTTAAAGGCAGAGGAAATACATTTGCTGCTAATGGTGAAAAAGTAGTTGATGTTGAAGGGCGTGAAGTTGTTGGTGTGGGACGACGAGAAGAAGCTACGACAGGTTTAGTGCCGATTGTTGTTTCTAAACTCCTTGGAATGGAGATAGCAATGGGGACTGGAAAACGAGAATCAACATTATCCACCAGGTCCATCTCGCCCCAAAGTGATTGGGTTTCTCCTGCGAACGAGTTATAAAGCTCCCACAGTTGAGTTGATGAAGTTCTTTTCCTCCTTTGAAGGAGAGCCTCTCCATCACTAGCTTCCCCTTCATCATCGAGGACCACTATGACCGTGGCCGGCTCAGTCATTGTTTTCTTTATCTTCTTCCTTTGAGCCCCAACTGAGAAAGAGCATCGTCTTTTTGGTTGCTTGTTCTCGGGATGAGGATTGCGAGATGAGTCACCCTCATTGGAAGAAGATCCGTGAGCACTACTTTGAGCAAAGGCACTTTGCAGCACCCTCCTGACCTCTTCGAGGCCAGCTAAGACGTCGACCTCGGGGTAGGTGACAAAGCCTTGTAAAAGTCCTAAATTAAACAAGAAAATGGAGTTAGAAGCTTTTTTATGAAGTTACATGTGTTCATACAAAGAAAAAAGGAAGAATGACTCGGTTTACTATGATTTTTGGCCTTCCACCCGTATTTAAGGGCCATCTCCTTCCACCAGCGGAATTTTGGTGTTATGATTTTTAGAATTTTTTGAACCTATTGGTCCGACCTTGAAACTCATGGCGGACCCAATCGGTTAGCTGGAACAAAAGAAACAAGAAGGTCAGCAACAACGAAGAACAATCTTTTAACGAAGGAAATGAATAAATCGAAAACTTACAAAAGATATTCCACGACTCAGGAAAAGACGGAGTTATGGTCGGGATGATATCCCCAATAGCGATGATGATGAATCGCTCCATCCACTCGCAATTGTTGTCATTATCCATGTTGATGAGAAGAGCATGGTTTCCATGTTTGCTGAAGTTTATTACTCCCCCACGAAAACTTTTGGGGGAGTAAAGATTCATCATGTGTGCAAGGTTAGGGATTCCCCAATCTTTGTATACAGTTGGCGAAGACAGCCACCGTTCGCCATACCGATAGGCCTACTTGGGCTAGGTAGACCTGGTACCAGAAGCAAAACTCCAAAATAATAGGGTTGACCCCTTCATTCGACCCCAGAAAGAATGGACCTAAGGTAAAGGGATATGTATAGACATATTTAAAACCTTTCTTTGTAAAGATAACTTGTTCTATCATGTCTAGGGCAAGGATCGCAAGATTAGGGCAATTACAGTCCTCCTTCACAATGGGGATACTAGAAGGATGAATGGAGGAGGGATACATACTAACTACCCAAGTCCATGAAGACGAAGAAAGGGCCTTCTATTGGAAGTCACGAGCAGTACTAATATATTTTGGTATGACGATGCTAATCGTGGGAGGTTCAAAATCGACATCAGCTTCTTTGTCCTTATTTTTCTTTGGGTCTCCACCGAAAAAATGATCAGAATTTTCGAAAAGTGCAGTGAAAGAAGCATGGTAACAAAGGGTCAGTAAAACTTTTTGCTAAGAGGGTCGGAGAAGATGAAATGTTTTCTAAGAATATGTAGAGTGAGAAGCGAAATAATGAGTAGAAGGGAAGTTATAGACGACAAAAATCCTGGTCATGATTACCTAAAAAATCAGAGAAAATATTTGCTGAATCGTGGGGAAACACATATTTTGGGGTATTAAATGCGAGAAAACGTGCGTCCTCTCAAACGTCAGAGACTGTTCAGGAACTTTTCCGCCAAGAAAACGATCACCAACTTTCCGATAACACAAAGATATATCATCGGAAAGCAGAGGGACTATCTGTATAAGATAAGATTGATTTATAATAAATGGTCGAATGATATCATAACACGTGAAACCAAAAATAGGCAAAAGGTAAGTCAAGTAACAACTAGTACCGAATACAACAATTACAAATGATATCGAGTAAATCCCGAAGGGAGCGTAGCTAGCGGGAGCAGATCGAGTATTTGCCATCAGATATCTTACAATGAGAGAATATTCTCTAACATTAAATAGACAACCGTTACAAAGAATATTTGCATTCATGGCATGTCATTACTTATTCGTCAATGACACTTTTATTATCATTTAATTGGAGCTTGATCCTACGATCTTGCTTCCCTAGCTAAAAATATAAATAGTAAGCTTAATAACCATTATAAGGGAGGAAATTCTTTGCATACATATGCTATATATTACTTTTGCTTTCAATCAAACAACTTTACTTATTTTATTATCATTGATTTCACTTTTGTCCTCGGAGACATTGTTCCCCGAACCAGGCTTGTCATCTTCTTCAATTTTAATTGCTAAATCTCATTTCTTTATCATTTTTGGATCAAATCAGTTCGCTTGTCTATAAATCACGTAACAATTAATTTTAACTGTACTTTTTTACGGGTAAACATTATATAAATTACGATTTAATTTATATGTTGTTATATTTTATTGAACTTTTTATACTTATAATACTTATAAATTATACACATTCAAACCACGTGTGCAAAACTTGTCTTAATTATTCAAATTCAAATTTAGACATGTTGAGAATTAAATATGTATTTTCATATTCAAACTGTTTAATCTACAAAAACAACCGATCCCAGCTAAGTCTGACAATAAATTTCGTTTGAGTCGAAAGAAAATGTTAAAATTGGTGGAAAAGAAGAAGAAAAATTGAAAAAGTTAACAGTATAGAGAGGGTCACACTTTCCTCAGTATTGTGCCTTATCAATGCCTAGTTGTATTTGTTACTTTGTGCCGCATGCGGTGCACGTGTTCTTGATTAGTATATATATATATATATATATATATATATAAAAGCAAAAATTCTATTAAAAGTCTAGGTTTGAACCCATAGTATTTAATAGTATAATGAATTTAGTGTAAGTTTGAGCCCATTAAATTTAAATCTTGGGTCTGTTCCCATATATAAACTTAGACTTTAAAAATGATTCACTCAATATTCAAATTCCTTGATGAGTATGAAATTAAATATTTTCTTCTAAGATATTAAATACAATGTCATCCTTTGCTTAACAACTAATAAACCTCTAATTGAGCAATAATTACTCCACCTGGCATATTTTTCCTTAAATCCTGTAGCAGAGCAAGCATAATGTGAATGCAATTCAAAATGTTCTACATGACCAAGATTATTGGAATCAAAGCTCATTAACTGAACACAAGAGAACAGAAAAAGAGAACAGACCACGAAAAATAACTCTTCTCTGCTCCCAAATATTGCTTTTGGCAAATTAAATTTATTTCAAAATATTTGAATTTAAAAATAAATGAAAAAGTCATTTATCATTTTTTTTTTCAAATATATTATCACTGCTTCAATTAGTAAAAAGTTAAAAAAATAAGACATTTAAAAGAGATATAAAGGATAATTTAGACATATGCTATAACAGTTATAAAAAAAGGCAGCTCGATACACAAAGCATTACGTGTTCACGTAAGGTTCGGGAGAAGATCACACCCAGAAGTATAATGTAAGTAGCCTACCTTGATGCAAACATCAATACTGATTTAACAGTTATAAATATATTTATTAAGAAGTGTACAATACTTGCATTCTTGCAAAACCTTGGCGTATCTTTCAAAGAAGCATGTTTTCTCCTCTATAAATTGTGTATCCAAAGCCCAATCTCTCAACTCCTAAAACTATCACCCCCC